TCAAAGTAATTTCAGAATAAAAATTAAACATTACACATAGATAGTGAACTTTGATCTTCAATCGCTTCCGTTCATGAAAGGTTTCTGTTCTCCAACACTTGTGTAGGCTTTAATCTTCAATCCTCAATTCTTCGTATGGCCAAAAAGTCCTATAAATCAAATAAGGGTTTTCACTACTAACTCAAACTGGGTCGGAAACATAAACCAGACCCGTAAAATGACCCAAACAACTAAACTTCTAAAGTCTGCAACTTTAATGAATTTTTTGAGGCTTCTGAGGCCCGAATCAGCTTCAGACTTCAACATGAAAGTTGTATCTCTTTCTCTCAGCTTTCCAACAAATATTAGAGCGCTTCGATCCAATTTCCATAATTCCAATTATGAAATTTTTAGTGAAAACTGATCAATTAGCGATTGCCTGTCACAACCCATTTTGTTACTGAAATATTATATAATAATATATATTTTTTAAATAAAACAATTTTTTTAAATTTCATTTTATTTTGATTTTTATATTGAGGGAGTACAGAAAAAAAATTATGTGATTAACCAATTTCATAACTTCATTAACCAATGTTTTCAATTTCATTAACCAACTTCATAACTACTAAAAATTTGGGTAGTCTATTAACTAACTTCATAACTTTATTAACCAACTTTGTTTTACTACTAAAAATTATTTTTAATATCTAAATGTTTATTAACCAACTTCATCGCTTCATTAACCAATGTTTTACATTTTATTAACCAACTTTATTTTACTATTAAAAGTCATTGTTCATATATTATTCACAAACATTGTTCACATGTACTGTTCACGTACTATTCACAAACACTATTCACTATTTTATATTATTTTATTAAAAAACATTGTCCATCGTATAAATACAGTGAATAGTATATACAGTGTAAGTATTGGTGTAGGAATAGCAAAACTCTATATATAAATGGATGTGCTAGACTAACACAATTGTATTGTGGCATATGTCCAAAGCTTTAATGTTCTTGGGAGAGAGCTTGGGTTCCAAACCCATTGGTTGGAAAAAAATTTATTTGCCTAATATTCTTTGCCCAATCATATATTGACACGTGGAACTTAAAAACATTTGATAAATAATATTCATTTGATTTATTAATTATATTATATAAAATTTTAAATTAATTATTTTGACACATGGAAAAATGTGTGACGTGCCAACGTGTTGACTCATCCATGTCAGCCATTCCATGTGCCATATACACAAATATGGAGAGGGACTAAAAAATTTCCCAACCAAATGAATGTTTGGGGATTAAAAGGTTGAATTTTTTAATAGGGGAATTAAAAGTTTAAAATAATATAAATAGAGGGACTAAAATTGCATTTAAGCCTATAAGTTTTAGTTTGTCTTAAAATAAAAATATTAAATTTTAACTTTAATTGTTTGATCTTGATCCAACGGCCGAAAACATATTAAATGTGTGAATGCGAGAATGTGTGACGGTGGAGAAACATGATACATTATGAGATTAACATTTGAATTATAAGATATAGTGATAAGTTTCAATCTATGTGCCAATAGGTTCAAGACAACTAAAACAATGAAAAATACAATTGACATTATAATTTGTCTAACTAACTCATAACAAATTAAAAAAGTAAGTTAATGGGCCTAGAAGACCTGGAACAAATAATTGGTGAAGAGTTGGAGCTTAAAATAAAGGGTGTGTTGGTGATAGAGTTGGACATATGAGTTAGATTGGATTCTGATAGTTGAAGTAGCTATATGATATTGTTGTAGTACTCTTGTATAAAACCAAAAGATGAACTTGTTGAATTAGAAGGTGGTTGATCAGAGACATTGTTTGTAGAATATGGAGCCTTGGGCTTTTGTTCTTGAAACTCGATGGATAACCATGTTTAACGAAACATGTCTCAATCTTGTGATTGGTATGACAATAATGAGTGCAAACACATGTAGGATTTGAAAAAGGGGTTTCCCTTTAATATTAGGGTTCCAATATAGTTTCCATTCTAAGATGAGTTAGAATTGGCTTGCAACACAAAAGTATGAGACAATTTATCAATAGAGGGCATGTCGATATATGAAGGAGGATTCATTTGTCATTCATGTTATATGATCAAAGAGAATGCACGATCAATATCAGACAATGGATTCATCATCATAATCTGTGACTTGGAGGAGGAGAATTTTTTACTGAGGCCTTTGAGAAAGAAAATCACATAATTTTGTTCTCTATAATTTTTGGCAAATGTGATAGCTCCACATGAGCAAGGGATTAAGTAGGAACAAGAAGGGATCGATCGTTACGCTTCTAATTCATCCCGAAAAAACTTTGAGATGGGTGAAATAATCAGAAATAGTTATTGTACCTTGCCAAAACTTGTATAGATCTTCCTAAATATCATAAATGCAAAAAAGTAACTTTGAGAAAATCGTGTGTTGAAATTCTCCTAAGCACTAGCAGTAGTGTTAATCCAAAGCACATATTTTTAAATTGATTCAAAGATTGAACAGAAAATCTATGCAAAAAACCATCTCTTTGAATCTTGTCCAAGGGGCGTGTAGCAAATCAATGGGAAAGGGTTTAGGAAGGGTTAAGTCGATGAAATGGTGTTTATTCTTTGAAATGAGAGAAATCTCCATCAACAAGGACCATGTATGGTAGTTCTTGGTATCAAGAAGTGGTGAAACTAGAATAAGAGTTGGATTCTCATTTGGGTGAAGGTAATAAGGGTTTTTAGAATTATAGGAGAAATTCGAGTAGCTTGGGTTAACCATTGAAATATTAGAGATAAAAGGATAAGGACTAAATAAGAAAGATAAAAATGGCTACCAAAACATGTATGCTCTGATATGATATTGATAGTATGTACATAGGGAGAAAAAATGAAAGAAAAACATCTTCATTACGAGATTAACATATGAATTACAAGATACACTGATAAGTCTCTACCTATATACCAATAGGTTCAATATAACTAAAAAATTAAAAATATGGTTGGCATTACAACTATCCTAACCAAATCATAACAACCTAGGAAAGTAGTTAATGGGCTTAAAAGACTAAAGATAATAATTAGGCCTGAATAATTGAGCTTCTTAAACAAATTCTTGTTGTTTAAGATATACGAAATAGACATAGTAGTTAAACAACATTAGCATAGAATCCACATATCGTCATACATCACATATTATGCTCACACTTACACTTCATCATAATATAAATACAACTCCTTCATAATATCATAGAACATCATTTGATTCACAACAAGGAATATAGCTAAAATCAACAATCATCACCAAAGCACCATTTAATTCACATCACCATTCACAAACATCACTTAAGTCACATCATCATCATAAACATCATTCAATCAACAAATCCATGCAATGTCAAATAGAATGTAATACAACAACATTGACTCATGCATGTGGTACTGTAGCGACAAAAAATTTGAGACTAAGCCATCAATTGACTTAACTCATACCAGTGAAAGTCGCCACCTCATTTTATTTTTTCCAAAGGAAATGGGAAAAGAGCGAACAAAACCCAAAATAAAATAGAGATCAAGATACGGAGGTTGGTTATACAAAGGAAAAATATTAACATCCTAAACATCTACAGTACTCCGCATGAACCTCTTTGAAAATATATGTATCTGGCTAAAAAATGGTTGTTTGCAAAAATGACTAGGGAGATGAGAAAATAAGTTATTTTTTATTATTGTGCCTGCCACAGTTGCGAATCTTTGCGCCTACGTACTCCCTTCGTGCAATAGAGGATCAGAGCACTCATAGTTCTTCTAAAAAACAAAACTGTGTGTGTTGGTTGATTTTAAATGAAGAGACAAAACATTATTTTTAGGAGAAGACTCGCCTAATCACCCACAAAGAATGAGAAAGAGAGACTACACACCAACATGAGGGAGTGTTTGAGAACACCTCTAGTACTCAAGTGGAAAAGTCGCCATCTTTACAACCATGGGGATAGTGAAATGACATCTCAACTATAAATGAATCATGCCTAATCTTAAAAAAGATGTTAAAGGGAACAGGTGTAGGAGGGCACAAAAATGTTTGAATGAAGTTGAATGTTTTTTAGTCTTTTTGAATGGGTTAGAATATGCTTATGTGGTTTAGCATTCATTAAGAAAATGGAGTTTGAAAAGTCGCTTGACAAAGTCAAGATTTTTTATGAAAGCGGTTCGAGTTTATAAAACAAGAAGGTTTTGAAAAAGATGAGAAGGTTTTGAAAATTGAAGAAGAATGGGAATGAGATAAAGAGACTATCCTAAAACAAAAGATAAAAATTAAAGGCTAAGGTAAGAGCTAAAGGTAAGGAACAGTCTAACCAAACAGGAGCTGACACTTGACAAATAAAGTCAACAAAAATTCTCATCATTTGGATTAAAGCCACGAGTACAAAATAAACCAAGAGAATACCAACAGTCCGGTGAAAATAAATCACAAGCAGGAAGTATCAGATAAACTCAAGGTGTTAGATAAGCGCAATGCATCAGATAAAACTCAAAGTATCAGATAAGAACTTCAAGTATCGAATAAGAGCTTCAAGTATTGAATAAGCGTCCTTGCATCAGATAAACATCCACGCAAACAAACAAGGACAAGATAATAGAGAAATAATCCGAATATCTCAACTAAGTAGGAAATAACCAAGTCAAACAATCAAAACCAAGGGACCACAATAAATCAAATCGAAAACCACAAAGTAAATCGGTCAATAAAGTTTCTGCATCCATACGTATTCGAGAAATGGCAACAAATAAATTTAACATCATCATCAAATCTTACACAAAACAACAATAATATCACAAGCTTTCTCACAACATCATCATCAATATTTCATTTCAATTTAACACAAACAACTCTAATAACAAATAAATTCTTCAACAATGCCAACAATGTCAATAAATCTCAACAAATAATTTCCAACAATTATTCATTACTCTAATCATCACAAATCTATTATTCAATTTAACTTAGACAAACATAAATTAAACCACAAAAATGAGGATGAAATATATGGAGGGAGTATGTGTGGTTCGAAGAAGGAAGCTCGGAGAAGGAGGGACTGAAGCATGACCGGTTGGACAGGAGCTGGCCGGAAGGAAGGAAATACTTGGTGTTGTTCCAACTGTGAGAAGATGATGGTGAAATTGGAACGGAGGGTGGCTGGAACATATGACAGTATGCGGATGGAGTATGTATGAGATGGCGATGAATTAAGTTGGACTATGGAAGTTTAATGGTGGTGACCAATGATGAATTGGAGAAGAGCTTCTGTATTTACTCGTTTCTGTTTTTTTTTAATCTTAAGATTTGATGCCCACCCCTTAAACATTATCTCAACATCAACTCTTATACAAAACTTATTAGGTTTAGCTAGTTATTCAAATGCCCAAAATGACTCTAATGATAAAATCAAGCTGAAAATTCAAAATTCAAAAGAATAAAAACTAAAGACACTCAAAAATATTTTAATTTTAATTTTTCCGAATAAAAAAAAAGATTTAAAATGATCAAAACGATAAAAAATGGATACTTAATTAACCGAAAAAAATAAAAATGAACACATTAAAGTAAACTATAGATTCCAAAGATTAATAAAAAATATTCAAATGGTCAAAATCGAAATAAAATGAGAATAAAAATATCAGGCTGAACAAACACTGACGATTAAAAAAGAAACTGCAAACTGTACTGAAAAAATAAAGAGAGCACATCGACAAAATCTACGCGAAACACAGATTCATAAAATAGCCAGATAGAGGTGAAAACTTGAAATATTTTCTCGCTAATTTTTCGTACAATGTTGAATCACTTTTAACAGTTTTCTTGTAGAATCAAAATATCAATATTATTGACGTATAAACAACTTGAAGCAATGTGTGAAGCGGATAAAGAGATAAAAATGTATGAAGTGAAATAACGAGTCTTTTTCAACTATAAAACGATGCAAATGTCGATTTAAACTTACTCTGGTCAACTTAAATACGATTAATGATGCAAAATATGATGAATGAAGATGTTTATTGATGATTGTGACCAAATAACAAAATAAGATATGATAATGCGACTAAAAATTTTAGGGACGAAATTTAGGGTGCAACATGTACTAATATTTATGAGCACCTGTATCATCACCCTCCAAGGATCCCCACCATAGCATCGGTTCCTACTTGGCACTGGAGCACAACATCAAACGCACTCAATCCATACAATGGGATTAAGGCCAACACGGAACCTCCAAAGTTGGGCGGACCAACGTCCAAAATATGCCATGAATGTATGATGCGCAACAACATAATATCAAGCGACCACAGCTAGTCAAAGTGCATCATTATTCATGTAATTATCATGTCACCATTAAATATACCACAACAACATCAAAACAAATTCGTAACAACATCATAACACATCTCTTCATCACAAAACATACATCATATTAACTCATCGTATAAAAATCTAATTTCATCATAGCATAGATACTGGAAAAATATATCATTTTACTAATTTTATTCCCCAAAAATACAGTTCATCGCGTTAGCTTTCCAATATTTTGAACAGCGTGCCAAACAGAGTCCAAAAACTCAAGTGTAAGAATAAGATTTGGTTCTGCAATATTATCTCTGAGTTTTGGTGATAACAAATGAGTATGGTTGTGTGAACAATTTTGTTGGACTAATGTTTGTTATTGTTAAGTACTTAACAAACAAGTTATGCTTCTGATGGATGGCGTGGCCAAGACATTAGAAGAGAATTCACTACGCCAAAAATAAGTTTTAGCAGCACATAAAAGAAAGCGCTTTTGGAAAAAACCGCTGCTGTAGGTTTTTAAAAAAAATCGGTTAAAAAAGCGCTTTCAAAGGGTGCCTTAAGAAAGCGCTTTTCAAAAGCGCTTCTAAAGGTCACCCTTAGAAAGCGCTTTTTGGGAAGCGCTGCTAAAGTCGGCCTTTCAGAGGGTACCTTAAGAAAGCGCTTTTCAAAAGCGCTGCTAAAGGTCAGCCTTAGAAAGCGCTTTTCCAAAGCGCTGTTAAAGCTGGCCTTTAGAAAGCGCTTTTAAAAGCGCTACTATAGGATATGCTACGAAAGCGCTTTTTGATGTAAAAGCGCTGTTATAGATGACCTTTAGAAAGCGCTTTTAAAAGCGCTTTCGTAGGTAGTTTTATAATAAATATCAAAACATAATTCGTATCACTTTTCTATTCTCAGTCAGATTTTCTTCACGAAAAAACCCTAAACCAGAGCTTCTACGGTGGTCAACGGCGCTCCACTTCTCCGGCCAATTGCAATTCGTATCAGGTTTCATTTTTTCCTCATCTCGTATGTGTTTGTCTGGTTTTCGTGTGCTTTGTTTGGAGTTTATCCCTTATTTTGCATATTTTCTACCAATTTAGTGTTAAAATGGAAGGAAAGGTGACCTTTACTATGATTATGTTCATCTTCATGTTCATTTTGCAGATTTTCTCTGACTGAATGCTTCATGTTCATGTTTTTTTTCTTCATTTTTTTTAGTTTTATTTAGATTTTTGCAGATCTTACAAGTTTTACATATTATTGGGTACATATCTTGAATGTTCATGTACATTTTCTGCGCCATAAACATAGAGGTGAATTCCAAATCTTTAACTATGTAAATGGCTGAATACATGTTTTTCTAAACAATCCACATTTGTTATAGCATTTGATTATAGCCATCTTATAGTAATGCCTTTGTGCAACTAAACAATCTAATGAAATACCTGATAATTAGAGGAAATGTTACTTCATCAACTAAACTTAGAAAAATCAGTGTATCAGCATTAGACTCATCCCATAACTAATGCTGCCATAGTAGTTTTTTGTTAAAGTCATATGTAATGATACAAACCAAAATAAAAAAAATTGTTTTTTTTTGTATTGTAATGATATAGTATATGTTTGAATTTCCCACGTATAAGTCAAATGTGCATTTCTCTTTCTTCTGTACCATTTTTTTAATATTTTAATTCTTCAAACTATATTAGCCGTTAGATTATGAGCAAGAGATATGGATGAATGGAATAAGACAAAAGGTGATTCATTTCCTGAGAAGTTACATACACAAGCTTTTGGAGATAAGACAAAAATATCAACAAATAGAGTAATGCTTGTCTAGCTAACTAAGATATTTTCTGCTATTTTTTTAATGTTTGTAAAAAAAATATATTTTCTGCTATACTACCCATAAGACATGTCACTCCTAATTAAATGGTCAATTTATACTTCCATTGTAGCTGGTGTTTAACTTAGTCCACTTCCTAACATTATTGTTAACTCTGCCATATTGTTAACTCTATTAATATATTGTTTTTTTCGTGTGCTTTTTATGATTGATTTTGAGCAACGATGGTTTCTTGTTTATGTGTTCTACTCGTCTCTTTTCTTGGTAGGAATGTATTATACTTGTGTACTAAAGTAGTTGATAGAATAAAATGAATTTTGAGCAATCCTTGATGAATCATGATCAACCCTTGATCAAATGATGAAATATCCTTCAAAATGAGAATGTTGACAAAAAATCTTGAAGTTTGACTGTATTTGGGTCACAGTTGACTTTTGCCCTAGCACAATCGATTTTTGGACCCCTTGAGCAATTGACTGAGCAAACTTCCTCTACAAGGCTTTAAATTTGACATGGATGAACTTGAGAACATATTAGGACATTGGGGAGAACTTGAGGTCATTTGGATGCAAGGACCTTGATGCAACACAAAACCCTAATTTGAGGTTGACTTCCTTAGGAGATAGCTTGACTGTCCAACTCTTGAGAAATCTTGAGCAACTTGGAGATTTTTCTTGCAATGTTTTGAGAAATATGAGAGGGCAAATTTTGGGGTGCAACATTTTCAAATTTTGTTTTGTACAATTCATGTAATTTCCATGTGATTTAACCATGTATTTCTAGTTTATTGATCATTTGCAAGCTTCCTGTATGGTTAGATTGAGTATTTGATGCAGGAATTGTGCGTTACCATTTTTAGGGTTTAAAGCTTAGATTTGGACGTTTTTACATTGGCCAAAATTAGGCTTAAACAGGGACACCATCATGCTCAGAAGAGTGAGGCCAGTAGATTTATGGCCTCACATATAATTTCTATGGCATATTTGGCTTATTTCATGATGCAAAGGCTGTAGTAACGGATAAAAATCTGTCACTATAGGTATTTCTACCTAAGACGACGGAGGGAGGTAGAAGATAAATGCGTGGCAGACCCCTACTGGGTGATTCAAATCAGCGCGCGTGTTATTATTTTTTTTCCTTCTAATATTAACATTTTCTTATATATTATATTATTGATTGAGTTTAGGTAACGAATGGGCATGTAGGTGTAGCGGTAAGGCGCATGTTTGTGAGGCCGGAGGGTATGGGTTCAATCCCCAGCCCTTGAATTTTATTTTCTATTATATGTTTCCTGCAGATCAGATGCTGAAGAAGCCCATAGGAACATCATGCACCTTCACCCTCAACCAGTTGATCACCACTGATTCAGATCAAACGATCCAGATCACCATGTGTTATCAAGAAGCGCCCTCACTGAATCCAAGCAGTATGAGCTCTCAAATGGGCCCAATTATTTTTCAGAACAACACCCCCCTGTTTACTACTTAGCTCCAGGCCCATTAGCTTCCATATTTATTTTATTTTGCTATTTACTTCTTTTTTAATCTTTTTTTATAAATCATAAAAAAAATCAAAAAATAATAATCATAGATTTAAGATTTTTTTTTCAATTAATTTAATTAATTAATTAAATTATTTTTGACATCATTTTATTAATTTAAAAATAATTAGAGCTAGGTTTTTATAACTCAAATATTTTCTTAACAAAAATACCAAAAATAATAGAAGTAGTTTTATTAGAACTAATTTTTAATCAACAACCTTTTTTTTCTTTTTTAATTATTTAGGATTTTATTTAGTTTTGCTTTAGTTAATTTAGTTTAATTATTTTCTTAAAACGAACAAAACAAATAGATTTTTTAGACTTTCTTAGGTTGTTAGACGTTTCTTTCCATTTTCACGCGCGTTTATCTTATTCTCTCATCTTTTATAATATTGTACCTGCTGATGGGATGTAATAGATTAAAATAGGACTTTACTTATTTTCTTTATTCTCTTTCCCCCATTTGGACATGTAAATGCCCCCTCCTCGAAAACA